GCTAACTCAGCTTAGAGGGAACACTGCTGGTAATATGAAATGTTGAGAGAAGAAGCAAGCCAACAAGGTCTTCCTCTCCATATGCTGCTTCCAGGAAGGAGAAAAGGCCTAGTTCACGAGTACAGAAGTAGGATGTGACAGAGAACCGAGGTGCTAGAATCGACTCTGTGATTTCAGACTTCTGACAGAGGGTTGCGTTTTGCAAATCTTCTCTGTTAAAAAACCTCTACAAATAAAACAACAATTTAAGCAGAGAAAAGGGGTAGAATCTTATGTGTGTGGGTTTCTGGAAAGGCGCGTTCAGAGCTGGAATCTACCGCCAGCAGTCTGAAGTATTATAATCTATTATATCACTTCCGTCCAATTCCACACCATTCTACTGCATGTGTGAACCAGGCCTTAGGTATTGTTCAGAGCTGTTGTAACAGTTTGGGTACTGCTGTGAAGCTGCCTTTGTCATAATAGGATATTGCATGAGTGTACACATTTGAATATATGTGTTAGGGTGTTGGGCTAGGAGCTGGGAGGTTGGAATTCCTACTTGGCTACGAAAGCTTGCTGGGTGATCTTAGCCAGTCACACACTGATTTACCTCACAGGGTTGTTGTGAGGATAAAACAGAAAGGAGAACAAAGTAAGCCATCAGGAAGAAAGGCAGAATATAAATGAAATAGATAAATACTCATTTAAATATATGTTGGAGATCACTCTGAGGCTGACTGGAGGCCTAGGCATTGACTAGGAAGTACAGACCAACCCAAACTAACAGCAGCCTGTATCCTACCACTCCAGTAAGTGGTTTGAAACCTTCCAGCAGCCTATGGAGCATTCCTCCAACTTAAAAGGACTCTTCTGATGGAGGAAGAAGTTGGGAAATGGAGTAAGGCTTCTGAGGTTGAACGTCCTCCAGGTTAAGGTAGGATACCACTCAGCATGTTTAAAATTTGTCTTAAGATGTGAACAAGATTAATACCTGCTTCAGAGACCAACATTTTGATCATATAACTATTTGTTTTCAAAGAGATGACTGATTCTTTCAAAGGAAGCAGTGAACTTAAACCTCCCATCTTCTTACTACCCTGTTTTCCCGAAAGTAAGACATCCCCCGAAAATAAGACCTACTTACAGTTTTGCCTCTCGCTGAAATATAAGAGATCCCCCGAAAATAAGACCTCCCCGATAATAAGGCCCCCTGAAGCTACCGTGACTCTGGACTCTGGGCCGTAGTGGCGGCCGCCGCCGCGCAGCTCATTGTTGGCCGCCGCGCAGCCAGAGCAGACAGGAAGTGCGAGGTCTCTTTTAATCAGAGAGCCCGCGCCGCCGCCAAGACAAGCTGCCGCCTGCTGCTCGCTCTGCCCTGATGGAGTGTACCGTATTCTTCTTCATGGAAAAATAAGACATCCCCCGAAAATAAGATCTAGCGCATCTTTGGGAGCAAAAATTAATATAAGACACTGTCTTATTTTCGGGGAAACAGGGTATGTCTGCCTTGTTTCTTGTAACTGCCTGTCACCCCTTATAATCAGGAGCACAGTTTATCCATTCTCCTATGAGATCAGGTGTGTTTTCTTTTACATATTCCAGTCTGTTCTTGCCATCCCACTCTTTCTAAGCCAATGCTGGCTTCTTCCATGGTTGGTTCTTCTTTTTGGACCTTTGTTTCCCTGACTTCCTATTCAGCATCCTGGTCCTCATGCTCTCTTGATTTCCTCCTACAACTACTTCTGTACCGTCTTCTTTGCATCAGCACACAGACTTCTAAGTGTTTTCCCAGAGAGACAGGAGACCCTCAGAAAACCTATGAGTGGCAGATTGGTGGTCTACAGTAGGAAGGGGAAATGTGCAGAAATTCCTTATGTTAGTGGGAGAACGTAGTCTGGACCCAACCCATCCTGTTGAGCTGTGTGAAAGGGCCAGGGTCTTGCTGTACGGAAATCAGTGGAAGTTCTACTCTTGGTTTGAATTGGTGCGCAGGCTGATAGTCCAAGTGTACCACTTGTCCTGCTCACGGGGCTTCCAGGACATCTGGCCCACCATTGTGGGGAGACAGGATGCTTGGACTAGATGAGTTGTTGGCCTTCTGATCCAGTGGGTCTGCTCTTAGGTTCGTAATTTGGCATTTGTTCTTGAGCACTTTTCAAAATCACCAACCTGTTTTATAAACATTGTTAGGGAACCAGGAACAACATAATTTTAAGGTATCATTAGCATGTGCCACACTAGTGCTTTGAGTTTCTTTGAGTTGCTTTGTCCATCGCAAAGGGGAACTGTGTATGTTTTCGGTCTTGGGAACATTTTTATTGCCTTACAATTAACAGTTCGTGCATTAACTTTGTCTGATAGCCAACACATGATTGGCTTACATATTACCGGCTGAATAAATTAAAGTATGGTAGCTGATCATGAGCTTCCATGTGCTCTGTATCTGAGGAAGTGTGCGTACACACGAAAGCTCATACCCTGAATAAAAGTTTGTTGGTCTTAAGGGTGCCACTGGACTCAAACAGTATTCAAGCTATTAAGGGATAACTGTTATTACCATGTGGATGGTGCTGTTGGGGGGCTTGTACCTCGCAAGAGGAGTTCATGGGTTGGTGTTTAGATATTTCTGGTTGGAAGTAAAAGGGTCCACATACGCTCTCGTCTTGGTGAATTGACTTGTTGCGCAGTAAGCAGTAGCTGTAGTGCTTTCCATCTGTGGTTCAGGAATCCTCAGATTTTTGGCTGTAGCAAGCAGCTGTCTCTTGTTCGCACATATGGCTGAAGTGTGCTGGAAATCTGATATATCAGAGAAAGATACATATATGAAACTTCTCACACATGAAATTCGTCTTTCGCTTTAAACAACAAGATCCTTGAATCAATACATTATGGGAAAGGAACTAATTTCCATTAGCAGAATTGAATTACCCAGAAGGGCTTCCAAACAGGCAGCTGCAGCCAGGTAACTCCAGAAACATAACAACTATATATTAAAATTATCAGTAAAATAGATGCTTCATTCAAAAAATTTAAATCACTGCTTTTGGGTTGTTTTTCTTCTACTAGCGTTGATTTAGAATTCATGGCAAGTTTCCAGTCTGCAACCTTCAGCTGTAAATTATGGCTCCAGTTTGGCAGAACTGGTCCATATGCATAGCTGGACCTTCCTGATGTTACCTATAGAAAGTGTCTCATGCAGAATGCTTTATGGTGAAAAGATCACTGTGTTTGCAAACAGCTCTGGATTAAGAGCAATGCACCAGTTCTTATTCACATGAGATACAGTTGTGGCAGGTGGCCATGATTCTGAGTCTGACTCTAATATATCTGATTCCCCTAAAGAAGAAGGCAAGCAATCAGAGGAGGAAGAGGAGGTTGTTCCAGTGGTTCAATCTAGGCTTTTTCCCTGTGGGGGCGGATGGTCTCCCAAAGGATAACAGCGACAAGTGTATTGAGCAAGCGCTGAGAAGAGATTTTGAGGCATCTGCAAACACTCTCAGAGCCTCAGTCACAGGATCCTTGTTCGCAAGAGCAGCCTATGCATGGGCCTCAGATCTGGCCAAGGCAGATAGTGGCATACCAAAGGATCTTAAAGATAAATTATAAAAGATTGCTTTAGCTATGGCTTTTGCAGTGGATGCCACACTCAACACTGTTCAACAATCGGCCAGAGGCATAGCATGCAGCGTCACGGCAAGGTGCAATACTTGGCTACGAAACTGGGACGTTGATCCATTGGCACGTACCAAGGTAGCGGCAGTTCCCTTCAATGGTACCAACTTGTTCGGTGATGGCCTGGAGAGATACCTTGTAGAAGACAAGGATAAAAAGAAGGTCCTCCCGTCAAAGAAAAGGGATGGGAAAGATGGGTGGAACAAGCCCAGCCATGCCAGGTCCTTCAGAGATAAGTGGCAACACAGGTCAAAAGACACAGGATCTCAGTCCTTTCAGACTAAACAACAACATAATGCCAAGGGCCCCAAGAAGGGTCCCCAAGCATGACTATGCCGAAGATACAAATGGAAGTGTGGGGCAGACTCCTGCTATTTGCCAAAACATGGCAAGGGTCTGTCACAGACAGGTGGGTCCTGGACACGGTTTCAAGGGGATACTTTCTCGAGTTCCAGTCCTTCCCTCCAAACTGCTTCCTTGATATGCCAAAGAAAAAGTCCAGAGACAAACACAACCTGCTGCTTCAGGCTATCTCTCACCTGTTGGATATAAAAGCCATAGAACCAGTTCCAACCTGGGAGAGATCTCAAGGCATCTACTCCATCTTATTTACAGTGCCAAAGAAGAATGGAGAGGTGAGAGCGATACTGGACTTAAAATGGCTAAACCAATGGGTCTTAACCAAGAAGTTCAAGATGAAGACGGTGAACACCATCTTAGCCTCCATTCAGCAAGGGGACTTCATGGCCTCCATAGACCTATCGGAGGCTTATCTACATGTGCCAATCAAGGAATCTCACTGGAAATTCCTTCGCTTTGCCTACAACAGGAGTCACTATCAGTATCAGGCCCTCCCATTTGGCCTGAAGTCATCGCCAAGGGTGTTCACCAAGACTCTGGTAGCCCTGGTGGCCCATCTGAGAACAGCAGGCATGTCCTTATTTCCATATCTGGACGACATTCTGGTCAAGACCCCATCATAGTCATCAAATGGCGCAGTCATTGTAGATCACCCTGATGGAGCTCATACGTCATGGGTTTGTGATCAACAAGACAAAGAGCTCATTAGTGCCAAGTCAGTCCATACTACACTTAGGAGTCCAAATCAACACAGAGAGGGACAGGGGGTTCCTTTCACAGGAAAGCCAACAATGGCTACGCCAACTGACGCAGTGTGTGGTGGAAGCACCAAAGGTGGAACTCATGTGTCTAGTGCAACGTCTCAGGATGCAAGTGGCCTGAAGTCATCGCCAAGGGTGTTCACCAAGATTCTGGTAGCCCTGGTGGCCCATCTGAGAACAGTAGGTGTGTCCTTATTTCCATATCTTGACGACATTCCGGTCAAGGCCCCATCATATCATCAAACGACGCAGTCATTGGAGATCACCCTGATGGAGCTCAAACGTTATGGGTTTCTGATCAACAAGACAAAGAGCTCATTAGTGCCAAGTCAGTCCATACTACACTTAGGAGTACAAATCAACACAGAGAGGAACAGGGTGTTCCTCTCACAGGAACGCCAACAACGGCTACGCCAACTGACGCAGTGTGTGGTGGAAGCACCAAAGGTGGAACTCATGTGTCTAGTGCAACGTCTCAGGATGCAAGTGTCCTGCCAGAAAGTTTTACAATGGTAACGCTTCCATACAAGATCCCTGCAGCATTTTCTCCTTCCATTCCAGTCAGACATAGCGCAGAAAAGGACCCGAGACAGCAGGAGTCAGTGAGACAGCAACTATTATGGTGGCTGAAACCGAACCGTTTCAGCGAGGGAGTGCCACTCAGGGAACCTCCTCGGGTAGTGATCATGACGGACACGAGTCTGTTTGGCTGGGGAGCACATGCAGAAGGAAGGATGATACAGGACACATGGACATTGAAGGAAAAGTCCAACAGCATGAACCTTCTGGAACTCAGGGCAATCAGATTGGCCATAGAAAAATTCCAAGGGATGATACAGGGTCTTCATATCCTGATCCAGACAGACAATATGTCGGCAAAGGCATATGTCAATCGTCAAGGTGGGACATGCTTCAAACGGCTTCACGAAGAAGCAAGCAAATTGATACGGTGGGCGGAGGCTCACATCCTGTCCCTAAAAGCCATTCATGTGGCAGGGCGAGAAAACACAGTGGCAGACTGACTGAGCCGTCAGTGGATCCGTCCGAGTGGATGCTAAACAGGGCAGTGTTTGGGCAGATCTGTCAGAGATTCAGGACACCAGAGGTGGACTTGTTCGCCACAGAGCAGAACCGTCAGACAAGAAAGTTTGTATCCAGGGTAAAAAGTCCTCTCACCATAGGAACAGATGCCCTGCACCTAGTGTGGCCACAAACGCTTCTGTATGCCTTCCCACCGATACAAATTATTTAGAAGGTGGTTCAAAGAATAATAGAACTAAGAGCTGCTGAAGTAATTCTGGTTGCCCCGTTTTGGCCCCGTCGGGCCTGGTTCCAAGATCTGAGGAGGTTGGTGATCCAGGAGCCTTGGCACCTGCCATCGGTGGAAGACCTTCTCACTCACGGGGAGACAGTACACCCTCAGCCAGGCTTATTAAAGCTCACAGTCTGGAGATTGAGAGGCAGCAGTTAATGGGGGTGGGCTATCCCGATTGTGTGGTGAGAACCAAGTTGGCTGCTAGAAAGGGGTCAACTAATAGGGTCTATAATAATACCTGGCAGGTGTTCTCTCCCTCCAGCAAGGAAAGGTATATTGACCCCATGGTGGCATCCACAGGGGTGATTCTTCTCTTCCTTCAAGAGAGTTTGGATAAGGAGCTAAGTACCAGTACTCTACGTAGACACATGGCAGCTATATCAGCCATTAAGGGTGCTAGGAAAGGGCAGTCTTTGGCCAGTCACCCACATGTCAAAAGATTCCTGAGGGGCATGTCCCTGCTGA